ATTTATGGAAGGTGTTTTACCAAACTATTTGTATTTCTGTCCATGCAGCCCTGCCATACAGCACATCTGGACAGATAACACTCCTTTCTCTGATAAAGTTATAGACCGTAGAGCAGGGGTAACCCAACTCCGACCCTCCAGCTGTTGTAGAACTACAAGTCCGATGAGGTATTGTAAGACTGACAGCCACATACATTACTCGCAGATGCATCATGGGATTTGTAGTTTCAGTACAGCTGGAGGGGCAAAGCATGTCTACCCCTGCCGTAGAGGGAACATAGTGGTGCAGGGTTTGATACCAAGTCAAATTCCCATGATTGCGCTTAGTCCTGCCCCCTTCTGTCACTAAGTCCACCCTGGAATTCAACAGTAAAATGTCAAAGCTCCTTGTGACCGTTGATGATCTGCTGTTCCACAGCTGAATGATGCAAGAGAGCGCTTAGGACCAGAGGGACCCGGGAAAAGTGTCCACCAAGTCAGAACCCTGTGCACAACTTGGGCCTCAGATCCAAAAACTTCACAATTACCCCCAAAACTGATTTCAAGGAATGCATGGTTTCTGTACTTCAGTTTTTTTTGTTTTAAGTTGGGTACTTTTTGGGCCGCTCCCCAAATAAGGGAAAACTTTTAACATGCAAGAGACAATTTAAGGTGAAGTTATAAATTTATGAGGCAACGTGAAGAAACCTAATAAGATTAAAAGAATGTATTTAATAACCTTCCACAATTAAAGGAGAACTATGGGGTCAGGGCTTTTCCCCATAGTTCTCCTTAGGGTAACAGGAGGACACAAACTAGCGTCCTCCCGTCACCCTAAGCTCAGTATAGCTCGCGGTATACTGAGACGCCGCAGCGGATCCCGACATCGATGTCGAGATCCGCCCAGCTGCGTGAGTGATAGCTGGCTCTCCCTATCTAGAGGCAGAGCCAGCTGTACCTGCCCCCTCCCCCGTCAGCGCTGGCGGATCCAGGCTGCTGCTGCTATTTATATAGTGCCGACAATTTTATGCAGCACTTTACACAGTGCTATAGATTCACATCAGTCCCTGCCCTCAAGGAGCTTACAATCTGAGGCCCCTATCTCACATGTATACATACAAGGGACAATTTAGACAGGAGCCAATTAACCTACCAGCATGTGTTTGGAGTGTGGGAGTAAACCGGAGTACCCGGAGGAAACCCACACAAGCACAGGGAGTACATGCAAACTCCTTGTTTATGCTCACAAATATTTTATTTAAAAGGAGAAGTAAACCACTTTGATTTTTTTGTTTGTGCCCCAATTACCCTACTACAATTTGCCTTTACCATAAAAGTGTGCCCTTCTTCAGCGTGGTCAGATCAATCTCTAGTCCTCAGCGCTGTCCCCCACAGCCATCTCCACCGATGACACTTCTAGGTTCTTGGAAGACCTCTTTAGCCATTGGGTGACCATTGATGATGCGACTCCTATGCATGCGTCTACATCCTCCACGGCACCCAGCCCATTCACGGCATATTAGAGATGTCTTAAATGGGCTGAGTGTGTACACAAATAATAAATAACAAAATTTCCGGGGGAGAGAGGAATATAATATTTTTGCAGAAGGGGCTTTGCCAAAAATCACTTCCCTTGGCCCTTATGTGCTGGCCACATGATCTATGCCAAAGGGGAAGATCAGAGCTCAAGTGAGTTCCTAACTAGCTGGCTCCTCCAGAACGTCACACATTGGCATCCTTTATTTATCTACTTGTTCTTCATCAACTCAAGTATTGAAGCTAAAGCATCAGTATGAAAGACGGGCAACTAGTACTTTCAGTAGAGAATAGTAGCCTACAAATGTAACATGATAGGTTACACACAAACACACATATACAATAAAATGCACGTTAAATTCTTCATAGCAAGGGCTTTGATTTGTATTGGGCAGCCTCACACAGGCAGAGAGTCAACTCTGCTCTATCATTTATGAAATGGCAGAAAATGACATCCATTATAGGTGTGATCACAGAACACATGATTGTCTATACAGTTCCATGACTCATGCTTTGTCACGGATGGGTTAGCAGCTGCTACCTATATATGTAGCAAAACATTCCTGAGAAACTGGATAATAGGAGTCTCAAGCAAGAATCCCATTATTTCTAATCAATTTTAACTGGCTTAGCTCCTAATCAGTCATCTGACACTTCCAGTCCCAGGGAGGTAATTGATTCCATAAACCATGTGAAATTCTGTACACACATATGATCCACTGGAAAATTGCAAACAGACAAGGACTGCGAGTTTTTAAACCTTGTGAAATATAAGGTTAGTAATTAGAATTCAATTGAAAAACAGAGAAATACATGAAAGCAGTTATGTATGCTCATGAGACACAAGCAAAGGTGACGGTCTATATAAAATGAAGTGTAAAAAATATCAACTCAAAATGATACGAAGTGAAAACTTTGGTGATGTTCATCTTATTATCCGTGTTACAAGCTCCATCTTGTGGGCAAATAAAACACAGCAAGAAGTGTTCAACAGCCTACAATTACCAAAGAAATATTACAACTGAAATCCAGCCTCACCTTCAGCCTTGCACAGTTATACGGGCTCCTCTCCTGTACAGAAATTGCTTACTCTAATTTCACTGCACACAATGTGTATTAGAAGCTGCAGCAAATCAGACGGAGGCACCTCATTTCCTGGCTGGAAAATGTCCAGCATCATCTAAATCTTTCCTCCCAAGCCTAACTGTCCCTGGCCCACTCTTTTCACTGGATCAGGTTTTTCAATCATGGAGGCTCAGCATTATATGTGAGCGTTACCACCTAGTTGGCCCCTCCCACCAGCCATGATCTGCCTACATTGAATAGAGAAACACAAAGACCTAGTGATGATGTCACTGGGTCAAAAGTAAGGTTTGTCGTGAAACCAGAATGGTTTTATTCAATCATTTTATTAGCATGTTGATGAGGGAGGTGAGGAGGGAGGAACAAGGGAAAGCAAAATGTAAGCAGATTCAACTTCAGCTTTAGGGCCTGTTCACATGAGTTTCAGGTCCTGATCAGCAGACGCGTTGCTATGTGTTTGGCCGCGTTTTTAATGCGTTCCAGTTGCTGGAGTGGGGCTGTCAGTATGTTAGCTGCAGTACGTTTTTGACGCGTTTTTGATGCGCTTTGCGTTTCCGGACCGTTTCCTGACCATACAAAATGTGACATGCAGTATTTTTCTGTCGTAACCTGAACGGACTGCGCACGTTAGATCTGTAGCCCATAAAACACATAGGGATACATTGGGATGCATTTTGAGTGCAGGAGCGTACGGATCAGGTCAGCACAGAAAACGGACGTCGTGTGAACAGGCCCTCAGGTAAAGAAGTGATAAAGAGAAGGCACCCCTATGTTACCTTGCTAACCCTTGCTCGCTTACTACCGGTACAAGCTCCCTTTCAAGATAACCAGTCCTGTAAGGATTATGCAGGCCGACAAATACAGAAATCTGAAAATTCTTACTTCTAGGTTGAATTTTTAGTAGGTTGTCAATCGGTACCTATATATGTATCTCAAGACAGTTTTCCTCAGGTAAACATATAGATGTCAGAAACAACACAAAGGGGTCCCCACATAGGGAAAGGAGTGGCAAATTTTAAATTAAATTCCCAGTGTGCGACAGTACTCCTATTATAATGAAAAATGAGTCAAGGAAAAAAAAACCCTCAAGAGATGCACACAATGGGAATAAAACAATAATACACTAATATCCATAAACACTTATTCATAATATCCATAAAAATGTAAATACATAAAAACATATCATCACCTCTATAAAAATTCTTAACCCTGTTTTTTTTTTTTTGGTCCTTGATTAAATTTTTCATTAAAAACATGTAGATGTAACATATTTCAACTGCCAAAAGATTTGTTATTTTGCTCAGCTACATTTGTGGTAACATACCCCTGCCACACTACAGGTGGGTGACACCACTTTTCTCTATTGCAAATAAGCAATACACTCAAGTCCTTCCTCACCCCCATCCGGCTGATTTGACAGTGACGGAGTATCATCACACTGCTGAGATAATCCCTGTGCTCTCCCCTCTGGTAAGCAAGACCCCAGAATTATAGAGAAAGCACTGAGCAATTCAATAGATCCTGACTAGATCACACAACTGCCCCTCAGTCCAAGACACTGTGTGCACAGGATTATGAGGAAGATAATATAAATAGTAGTTTTAGGTACTTGTATCAGAATTTTTAATGAGGAGATTTGAAAGGCTTGGACTAGGGAAACTCCTTGAGAGAGGAAAGCACAGCCTTAGGCAAGTGTCTGTGTGTGTGTAAGTAAACCTAAAGTGCAACTAAAGGCAAAACTGTTTTGTTTTCTTAGTTTTGGATAGAATGGACAGGGATTAAAACATGTCAGGTTTTTACTGCCGTCTGTGTCCCCATTAGGGAGATTCATCCTTTCTATTTGTCCTGCTGGCCGTTATCACTGAAAGTGAAAGAAAAAAAAAAATCACAATTTTGTGTTGTCACCAGAACAGGAATAGATAGTAAATCTTTCACTGGGAAGACCATCTGGTAACTTTGCTGTCCACCAAGGATTTCCCTCACTTTGGAAGGATTTCTTCTTATTTCCTGTTGTGGATATCAGTCAGGAATTGAATGAATCTCCCCAATGGGATGAAAAAAACAAACTGTTAGGGGCTCTAGTCCTCCCTTACTCTATCCAAAACTAAAAGAAAAAAGGTCTGGCTTCGGTTCTACTTTAAGCGGGTAAGGTCACTTCTGTCCCTGAATCTGCACATTTGGGTAACCTGACCCTCTGATAGCCTGGTAATACATGAAAAGGGACCAAATGATGAAACTTAGGGTTACACAAGGCTTGTTACAATCCAATGGGTAACGGGCACACACATTACACGAGTATATTTATTTAGAATTGGTTAGAAGATCTTTAATGCCAGAGTAAACCATGTTTACATCTTTACCATCCCTGCATGTAAGAATCAAACCTGAATAGCTAAACTTACCTGTCTCAAGCTGTTTTTTGTTAGCAATAACCTTTATGTGACTTTCTTGTAATCCATACGTTTGTGCTATCCTGTGACAGGTGGAAAAAATAAAAAAACAAGGATGAAATGTTCACCAATAATTAATAAAGACGCCATTCTTATTTTCTTTTCTGTCATTTTAAAAATAAAAAGGTTATTCTAGCACTGCATGACTTAGTAATATAACTATAGTTTATTGCACTATTCAAATTGCCTATGTATATTTATATTGTTTACATCACTGCTTGTAATCCTGACAATTGGACACCGCCATGTCTCTCAGTTGAATATCTAATATTGCAACAACTGCAAAGTATTATTTTGTTATAGTTGCATCCCCTTCATGAAAAATCTTGAAAGCTATCACAAACCATATCATCACTGTAGCGGAGGAGGAGACAGGCTGGAGGGAGCACTGTCACAGCCGGATGGATCCGAGGATCAGACGAGTATAACTTTATTTTCCTCCCTAGACCAAAACCAGCACTTAACCTTGCAGTGCGGGGGTAGCCCCGCTGCAGGGGTTAATAATAATAATTGTTGCCAAAGTTCTTCTTTAATAATTTTGATGAAAGAACCGTATTAGAATTTGTCCCAATTCTGTATTATAGGAAGTGGCATCCATAGCCTAATCTTCTACATATTCTCCTTCAGCTTCTATATTTTAAATGTAGGTTAAAAGGATATACATAAAAGACACAAATTATAAACCCACATGCACACACACTTACAAATATATGTGTATATGTACACTGGATTATATGTGCTTCTTCCTTGAATGGGAAGATTTTGAAATGGTGTTGTTAATCCTCATGAAGTCTGTACATATATTTTCACTTTAATAATTATTATAACATTTCTGTCAAAATACGTCGAATTGTCTGAGCTTGTTAACAGAAACATGCAATGTGGGTTATTTACTCTCTGACATACAACTGTCAATGGGAAAACATGGATCTATTCCAGCCTACTAAAAAGTTTTTTTATCAGCATACCCAATAACTGGAGTCTTTGAAACGAATAAACTAATTGGTAGGTATTATCTCCCTTCCAGTCTGCTACCTACCAACCAGCACACAGTTCTTTATCCGCTCGATACAGAAAGTAGAAAACAACGCACAATTCTCCATATCTGTTTAGCAGGCTTAGCTATAGCCTGTGTGTCCTACACTGAATACACTTTGCTTTTCTATCTTTAGCTAAGTGGAACACTGAGTATATAAGATACAGTGAACGTTCTGGTTGCTCGATACAATGTACCAGCACGGTTGTTACATTTTTCCAACAGGCATCAGATTGAAGTTGCATGTCATATATTTCGCTGCATTGTTTAATAAAAAACTTTTAAACTTTTATTTTCCGCAAGTGACAAGCGTTGCCCGATCACCTAGCAACCGATCGGTGACCTGATCCGGGTTCCTGACACTCATTGACTGATGGACGAGTCGGTGTGAATAGTAGAGAGACGCGAGTCGGTGTAAATAGTAGAGAGACGCGAGTCGGTGTGAATAGTAGAGAGACGCGAGTCGGTGTGAATAGTAGAGAGACGCGAGTCGGTGTGAATAGTAGAGAGACGCGAGTCGGTGTGAATAGTAGAGAGACGCGAGTCGGTGTGAATAGTAGAGAGACGCGAGTCGGTGTGAATAGTAGAGAGACGCGAGTCGGTGTGAATAGTAGAGAGACGCGAGTCGGTGTGAATAGTAGAGAGACGCGAGTCGGTGTGAATAGTAGAGAGACGCGAGTCGGTGTGAATAGTAGAGAGACGCGAGTCGGTGTGAATAGTAGAGAGACGCGAGTCGGTGTGAATAGTAGAGAGACGCGAGTCGGTGTGAATAGTAGAGAGACGCGAGTCGGTGTGAATAGTAGAGAGACGCGAGTCGGTGTGAATAGTAGAGAGACGCGAGTCGGTGTGAATAGTAGAGAGACGCGAGTCGGTGTGAATAGTAGAGAGACGCGAGTCGGTGTGAATAGTAGAGAGACGCGAGTCGGTGTGAATAGTAGAGAGACGCGAGTCGGTGTGAATAGTAGAGAGACGCGAGTCGGTGTGAATAGTAGAGAGACGCGAGTCGGTGTGAATAGTAGAGAGACGCGAGTCGGTGTGAATAGTAGAGAGACGCGAGTCGGCGCGAATAGTAGGGAGACGCGAGTCGGTGTGAGCAATAGAGGGAGAAATATAAAGCCATGAGGCAGCACATGTAATAAGGTGATATGAGGTATTGAGGCCGATTGCTGCGAGTATTCATGTCAATTATCCAATCATGTGCAGATGAAATAAACAGGAACGTTCTTTTCAGATGATTGTATGACTGAATCTTTAAGGCCGTGACACACTGCATGCGAAGCCGTGCAGAGCGAAGCAAAGCTATCTGGCACGGAGTTTTGCGTGCAGTGTGTGAGCTGAGTGCAGTCAGATGATTGACTGCACCTTCAGCCAATCGGCTCGTGCTTAACAACCGGCCAGACGTCGCATCCCGTCGCGCCGGTTTATGCGCGCGAGCCGATTGGCTGAAGTTGAAAGAAGAAAATGACATGACACACTGCTCGCAAAGGCAGCGTGCTATCGCTTCGCCTGCAGTGTGTCACGGCATTTACACATTTTATTGCGTGAACATTCTCAAATCATTTATTAAATCAGCCTCAGCAAACATTAATAACTGGGTTAAGGTAATGTAGATAATAGAAAGGAATGTGGTACATGAGTAATAACAAGACATGAAGCAGTACATGCAATAGAGAAGTATATGGCACTATTTGCAATAGAAAGATATTGGGCACCGTGTGTAAAAGAGAAGTATGAGGCACAGCATATAACAGAGATGTATGAATTAGCTCTCGTTGTTGTGAACTAATGGTTCTCCTGGGGCCAGGAAGTAACACAGCTTCAAAACTTAAATCATAATTTTGTTCCTTTCTTACCACATAATGAATCAATGAAACGCACAGAACTTGGATCAGACATTTAACCACTTCAAGACCAGGTGTTTAGACCCCCTTCCTGGCCAGGCCATTTTTCAGTATTCAGCGCTGCGATACTTTGACTGACGTTTATTCCGTCATGCAACACTGTACTGAAATGAATTTTATACCATTTTTTGGGGACAGATAGAGCTTTATTTTGGTGGTATTTAAATCACCACTACGGTTTTATTTTTTACTAAATTAGGAAAAATTACTGAAGTAGCGGACGTCTAAAGACACCCGCTCAGATCTAGAGAGCTCCGGGCCGGCCGTTTTTTTACTACGGGCGGCCCGGAGGCAGTAAATGATCCAGGAAGACCTGGATTAAAACTTGTGCAAGACTAACTTTTTGGATATCCTTACTTGGTAGCCAGCTGGGTGATGTACTGAACTTGTACTAGTCAGTCGCATAAGCTTCAATGGGCTACAATTTACATCGGTACATGGACGGACCTATGAGAAGTGCACTAAACTCTATGCAGGTGACTATCATATGAGCAGTACAAAATGGAGCTGCCTAGAAAGAAGCAATGAACAAAAGCTGAAGCACCTTGCCACGTGGATCAATGTCCGATCTGAGTTCTGTACTTTTCATTGCCAGTGTATTGGTAAGAGCGAGGTGACCTTTGGCACGAACAAAAATAAAAATGTCAGCTCTACTTTAAAGTATACGAGGAATATAAAAACTTTGAAGCCTGCCACAGGATATGAATGGCTGAATACATGACTAAGATGTGTTATAAAACAAATTAAATGTTTACAAGATATAAAAACGGTACTTACTGACACTTCAGCTCCTTCCCTGTTACAGTCAGGGAGGTTTCTATGTAGTTTTTGGATCCCTTAGGAAAAAATAGAAAAAATAAATCTAAGATTATGCCTATATATGTGAAAAATAATGAATTCTCTTGCAGTATACAATTTATGCACATCAATCAAATCTAAAATGTAGGCACGCCTGCCTTTACAACTGCTCTGTTTACATCCAGACCCATGAAGTTCCAGCTGCTCTGCCTGGTAGGTACTTGTGCCCCTTTCCAATTACTTTTTTTTACTGGGGCATGAATTTTGCTGACTTATGGCTTAGCTTCACCAACTAAAATGTGACTATGGTCAATGAAGGTGCCCATACACTGTACGATTATCGTACGAGAATTGCGGGGAATCCCGCTATCGTACGATAATCGCAAAGTGTATGGAAGGAGTGCGACCGTTACTGTACGATCGCACGTCTTCCGTCAAACAAGCAGGCTGGAAAACCCGCCGAGAATCGTACGATTCTCAGCGGGTTAGTGGTGTGCCGCACGTGCCGGTCTGCACACGCGCACACTGCGCGTTCAGCATTGCAGTCATCGGAAGCCTGCCCCTCAGCGGGGCGGGCCTGCGATGATCACAAGCACGATCTGCCTGTCCAAGATGGGCAGATCGTACGCTTTTTAAAATTACTTTACAACCCTCGTCTTGCGAGGGTTGTACAGTGTATGGCCACCTTGAGAGAACTCTAATTTTACAGGAATATGGCAGTTTGCGGAGCGCAGAAGAAGCTTTTTTGGCTCAAAAAGTTAACAACAGGCATTCTGTGGTGTTTGCTCTTAGGTAGAATTTATCATTTAAAAATATCAAATGGAATACAGGTCCACTTTAGGATTCTTGAAATGTACAAAATACTTTATCTAATGCTTAAATATGCAAATCATCTGATAACTTCCAAAACTCACTTTCTCATAGACTGAGAAAAAGGGGAAGCAAAAACAAAAAAAGAGGATCTCCAATAGCTGTAGATGTAAACAGAACAATCACAGAAAAAGGTAAAACTTTACAAAGTTTACATCTGTGTCAATGTAGAATGTAGGCAATACATAAGTAACGTTTTACTTTTACACTCATAGACCCTCTTATACTGCTACTGTGAAAGGGTACTATGTAGGGCTGCAACAACTAATCGACATAATCGATTATAATCGATTAAAAAAGTTGTCAACTTTTTCAATCATCGATTAATCGGCTTTCGATTGGTTGGCCCTGTTCACGGCTCCACACACGCTGCGCGCCACACCTCCTCCCCACCTCACGCTTGCCGCTGCCCGATCCGCCTGCATCCACATTCCACACCTCCTCCCCACCTCACGCTCACCGCCTGCCCAAATCCACGATCGGCACAGGGACGCGGGGAGAAGAAGTAAGGAGGAGCAGATGACAGCAGCCGATAGACAGGCCCGATCTCAGAAACAAGTTGCTGGAAGACTGCACAGCTAAGCCTGCACTTTCCCACACATGGTGCTCTATAATGTATTGCTGGGATAGTGGGATTTGTATTCCTCTATAGCTGATGGTACATTGTGCTTTATATTATACAGAGCAATGTACCATCAGCTATAGAGGATTACAAATCCCAGCAATACATTATACACTGTATGCATAATGTATTGCTGGGATTTGTTGTATTCCTATATAGCTGATGCTATATAGCATCAGCTATACATTATACAGCTCAATGCACAATACCGCCAGCTTATAATGTTGTATTCCTCTATAGCTGGTGGTATTCTGTATTGCGCTGTATAATGTACTATTGCTGGGATTTGTAGTCCTCTATAGCCAGTGCCATTCTGCATTTATTGCTGTATAATTTTACACTTTTCATTTCACTATATTGCACACTACACATTTTTATTCCTTTTTTACTTCCACCGCTCTTGCTCCTGTGATGGACTACAATCTCAATATAAACTAGTAGTCCCATCACTGGAGCCATTTTTTAAAATGTATTTTATTGTTTTATCCGATTAACCGAACTTAATAATCGGCTAACTAATCGATTTTGAAAATAATCGTTAGCTGCAGCTCTAGTACTATGGACTGGACCCTAAGTGTCACCAATGAGCAGTGTGGGACATTGCAATGTATATATCTTGAATAAGAATCCCTGAGCCACAATCAAACAGTCTCTTACTTTGTGCAGCTTGCGTGGCACGAAGACCTGCAGTGACGCCAGTCCTTTAGTCATAAAAGCCTGATTACCACTACCACGTTGTATTGCAGAGCAGCGGATTTCTTCCAATGCGCTGGTGATGTCATCCACACTATGCTTCAGCTTTTCTGAGTATTTCAGAGACAGCTCCTGGAAAGGAACACACAATTTAATCAGACAGATATTCAGATCTGCATGGTGATATACAAACCAGTAAATTCTCTTTTTTTCCGCCTCATCATACGCAGTCTATAGATAATTTAGATCTCAATATAGTTAGGGCACAAGGCTTGCTTAGCCCCAACGCATGACAATCTGATTGTACAATCTCTTTTAGATCTGCTGTAAACAATAATAATAACTTTGTGTTGACTTGGCCCAGCTGCAAAAAAGTGAGATAACGATGGGGAGGGCAACTTAAGTGCTATCAACTGTTTAATAGCTGTGCTTGAAGACACGTCCTGCCTGGTGACCCTCTAAAGGTGCCCACACACCTTACGATAATCGTAAGATAATTGCGGGAAATCCCGCGAGCCTATGATTATCGTAAGGTGTGTGGGAGCCGTGCGACCTCTGCTACTGTAAGGTCACACAACTTTTATCTTAGGAACATGTTTGAGAAATTGTACGATGTTCGGCTGGTTTGTGGCATGTTCGCAAGATAAAAGCCGAACAGGCCGGTGCACGCTGCCCGTTCAGCATTGCGGTCATCGGAAGCCCGCCCCTCAGCAGGGCGGGCTTGCGATCATCGCAAGTACGATCTGCCTGTCCAACGATAGGCAGATCGTACGTTTTTTTTTATTACCTTACAACCATCGCAAGACAAAAGTCTTGCGATGGTTGTAAGGTGTGTGCCGAGCATAACAGAGTTCTAGCGAGATATTTTTATGCGAGTACACTTTTTAATAATAAAGATTCCTTTCCCTGGATGGTACGCGCTATAAGAGTTTCCCTCCCCTTGTAAGAAGGGAACTGCTCAGTGAGACCTACTTGGTGGGTCCATAGCATCAGTTGAGCACCCATTTGTGTGTTTGTGTTCACGTGCTGATTGGTTGTCATGCACAGCTGCTCCAGATTTTGTCTGCTCCAGCTTTGATCAATTCCCTCCATTGAGTTCTAGCGAGCGCAGCTGGACTTTGCATGGGGCAGTAGTGGATGAAAATCTTTATTTGTATAGGCATTTACATAGCGCCGCCAATTTACACAGCACTTTACACATTAGTGCGTACCCTCACGGAGCTTACAATCCAACATGCACTCACACAAGGGCCAATTTAGACAGGAGCCAATTAACCTAACAGCATGTCTTTGGCATGTGGGAGCAAACCAGAGTAAGGGCAGGTTGACACCATTTTCCAGACCAAATCTGGTCCAGAAAATGGTGAGAATCTGCCTGCACTGGAAGTGCATTCCAGACCAGACAAAATGAGACAAGTGGCATTTTCCTGGTCTGGTCTGGAACGGACTGCGCTGGTGTAAACAGAGGCAAGAAATAGCATAGAAATTCATTAGGATGCATCTGGAGATGATCTGGATTTGGTGTGCATGGGCACTAAAGCAACACAAGCACAGGGAGAACATGCAAACTCCTTGGACACCTAGCCCAGGCCAAGGCAGAAGCGCTAACCACTACGCCACTGTGCTGCCCAAGTGCATAAAGGGCAGATCTGGCCAATATGGTGATATAAAAGAAGGAAACCCCTAAAAAGATTTTAGGTCCATTCAAAATAAAAAAAAATTAAAATAAAAATACAAGAAGAATAATGCCCTGAATATGTGGATATCAGACTCCTATAAGCATCTGCACAGCAACACTCAGACAGGGAAAAGGAAGGAGTCTGACAATCAGGGATGACCTCACGAGCCTCTAGTCACAGGCTAGGTCAGGTCCTGGTCCAGGTAACATTAGACCCAGCTTGGCTTGCTGCAGGGCATTACCCATGTTATTCTTTCAATCAATCCCAGTGTTGCTGGGAAAAGGGAACACAGACAACAATACATTTTGGAAAAACATTCTAATTCATCCCACTTTATTCAAAACTGGGAAAAATAGGATTTTTGTACTCACCGTAAAATCGTAGATCCTGAATGGTAGGGTATATCGCCACCTGCAGGAGTAGGACGCTAGGCACATAACAAAAGACAAGACAGCCTAGGGGCGGCCCCTGCTGGTGGCCCAACCCCTCACTTGCTGACAAGTCTCCAGTAAGTAACAAACAGTTAGGAGTGTAAACCCCAGAAAAGAGGGCGGGACCTGTGTCCAATGAACGGAGAGAAAAGGATTTTACGGCGAGTACAAAAATCCTATTTTCTCTCCCGTTCATTGAAGGACACAGGGCAACAGATCATAGATCCTGAATGGTAGGGACGTCACCTAGCAGTAACACACTGAGGGATGGGCAACAACAACAAAACACCCAAAAGACACCTCAAAGCGCCGCCTGCAACACTTTGCGCCCCAAACCAGCATCCACCGATGCCAAAACATCCACCTTGTAAAACAAAGGTGTGAACAGACCAAGTAGCGGCCTTACAAACCTGAGAAACCTAGGGACCATGGCGGAAGGCCCAGGATGCCCCAACAGCCCTAGTAGACTGGGCAGTAACAGGGAAAGGAGGCTCACGCCCCTTAAAGGCGTACGCCTGAATAACCACATTGTGGATCCACCGAGAAATGGTAGCCGCCGACGCGGCCCGGCCCTTACAAAGGCCCTCTGTGAGCACGAACAAGGATTTGGTCACGCGAAAAGAAGCCGTAGCTTCCAAATAAACACGGAGAGCACTAACCACATCCAGACAGTGGAGCGCACGTTCCTTCCTATGAACCGGAGTCGGGCACAGGGAAGGTAATACAATGTCCTCATTCAGATGGAATGCCGACACAACCTTAGGCAGGAAGGCCGGCCGAGGACGGAGAATCACCTTGTCCCTATGCAACACCATCAACGGAGACTTGCAGGACAAGGCAGCCAACTCAGACACCCGCCGCACGGAAGCGATGGCCACCAAAAAGGCCACCTTTTGCGACAAAGACAAAAGCGGAATCTCCCGAAGGAGGCTCAAACGGAGATTCCTGCAACACCAAAAGCACCAGATTAAGATCCCACGGTGCCAAAGGCGAGCGGACAGGGGGAGCAATGCGGGGCCAACCCCCGAGCCACCCCGCGCTGCAAGAAGTCTGCTGACAGAAAACAAGCGCGGGGACAGGGCCCCAGCCTCATACCAGGCAAAATAGGCCCTGCACGTGCGATGGTAAATCTTACGCGAAACCGCTTTGCACGCCCTAAGCATCGTGGAAATTACCGCATCAGACAACCCCCGGTCCTCCAGGACCTGGCTCTCAACAGCCACGCCGTCAACTGTAAAGAAGGATGGAACACAGGCCCCTGGGACAGAAGATCGGGACGCAGAGGCAGCCGCCACGGGGCGTCCGCCACCAGCTGAACCACGCCCTCCGAGGCCAGTCTGGGGCCACAAGGACACCGGTGACGCCCTCAGTTGCGATCCGGCGCAGCAGCCGAGGCAACAGATACAGAGGAGGGAAGGCATAAATCAGACCGTAATGACCCCAAGGAGCCACCAGGGCATCCACCGCCTCCGCCCAGGGATCCAAGGCCCGGGCCACAAACCGGTCCACCTTCCGGTTGAACCGAGACGCCAGAAGATCCATCGGCGTCCCCCAGCGAAGACAGAGCTGCTGGAAAACTTCTGGGTGCAGGGACCACTCCCCTGGGTCCACTGACTGTCGACTGAGGTAGTCGGCCTGCCAATTGTCCATCCCCGGGATGTAGACTGCCGAGAGAGCCAGAACCCGATTCTCTGCCCAGGAGAGAATCCCGAACACCTCTTGACCTGCAGCCACGCTTTCCGTGCCGCCCTGGTGGTTGATGTATGCCACCGCCGTGGCGTTGTCTGACCGGACCCGATTCGCCAGGTCCTAAAGCCGGGACGACCAATGAAGGAGAGAAAGGAGAATCGCCCGAAGTTCCAACACATTTAAAAATCGACAGACGGGCCTCCTCCGGCGACCAACGACCCTGCACGGTCAAGGCGCCCAGGACTCCCCCCCAGCCCCACAGGCTGGCATCCGTGGCGACTACCGTCCAGTGCACAGGAAGGAAAGACTTCCCCGGCACCAAGGCCGGAGAATGAAGCCACCACCGCAAGGAGGCTCTAGCCTCCCGAGACACCCGAATTTCCCTGTCCAAGGATAGGGGGGACTTGTCTCATGGCTGCCTTGAAGGAGGCAGCCATGAGACGAGGGAGAAAACCCCCGGGCCGCGACAGTGTCCAGAACGAGGCCCAGACACTCCAGGTGTGGGGAAGGCACCAGGCAAGAGTTCCAGAGGTTCAGGAGCCAACCGAACTCCTCCAAGGACCGCACCGTGACCCCCAGAGCCGTCACCAGAGAGGAGTGCGACTCCGCCCGCAGAAGCAGATGGTCCAGGTAGCCCACGATCGAAACCCCCCGACAACACAACAGCGCCAGAATCGGGGCAAGCACCTTGGTGAACACCCGCGGAGCAGACGCCAGCCCGAAGGGCAGCGCCACAAATTGAAAATGCTCCTCCCCCACCGAGACTCGCAAACCGGCACATGACGGTAGGCATCCTTGATGTCGATGGATGCCAGCAGATCCCCCTGATGAAGCCAGGCCACCACGGACCTGATCGACTCCATCCGGAACTGGTGGACCCGCACAAAAGGTGTTGAAGTGTTTGAGGTCCAGGATGGGCCGAACCCCCTCCAGGTACACCTGCATGTAATTTATCAACTTCATTAATATGCTCACACTTGGAGACTCGGATACATAGAGTTAGGACCACACTTTGCAGAGGTGCCTTGGCGCGGCGGTGTGGCTTCTACATATTTTTGGCCAAAAGTTTGTGCAACTAAAACCTCCGATTTTAACGCATACTGTTGACAGGGCTACTTGTTTGGTTGCAGGCTGGCTGGCAGGTTGAGGCTGGGGAATTTTTGTGTCCCCCTCTTCCTTGGGCACGGTAAACAGGTTCGAATAAAACCCCTTGAACCTTTCCGAGGACGGAAGCGGCACAATCACCCAGAGACAAAAGGCCCGCCACAGCGTGACGGAGATCCGCCAACCGCGACAGAGAGAGACGCGTGTTGGACGGGAAGAACCGGTCCCCCAGCTGGGACAGAAATTCGATCTTGTAGCCCGAAGAAACCAGCTCCCGGACCCAGGAGTCGGAGACGTGGGCCAACCAAAAATCCGCAAAGAGCCGAAGGCACCCCCCCACCCTGGGAACCAGGGCCGGGGCACGACCTTCATGCTGACTGGGGCTTGCTGGCGGCTTTGCAGACTTAGGCTGCCATGGACGTTTGGAGGATTGTGAGGGGGAGGGCTTGTGAAACTTCCCGCCCTTGTCAGAAGGCGGAGGGGGCCGAAAAAGCTGCTTGCGAGCAGAGAAAGTGGGCCCAGGTTTGCGTCACAGCTCCTTCTTGCGCGCTCGGGGAAGAAAGGTACTCTTGCCACCCGTCAGATCCGTAATGATCTCATCCAAGGGGGAACCAAACAGATGGTCCCCAGTAAAGGGTAATTCCGTCAGAGCCTTCTTCGAAGCCTGATCAGCCGACCAGCACTTAAGCCAAAGCAACCGGCGAAGCGTCACCGCCGACAGCTGAGACACCAAAGGCGACACATCCAAGGCCGAATTGCAGACATACCTAAGGCCTTGCACCAACTGATCCGCCAAATCCACGTAAGCGGGAGAGACATTCTCCTCCGCAAGACCCTGGTGCAACATCTTAGCCCACTCCACTTAGTCTGAGACCAAGGCCGAAGCCAAAACCAGGCGCATAAGCGCCCCCGAGGCGGAGTACAGAGTCCGCAAAAGCTTCTCAGCTTTCCTATCCGTGGGATCCTTAAAGGACGGAGAATCCTCCACTGGGATTACCGTGGCCTTGTTCAAGCGAGAGACCGGGAGTTCCAACGCTTAGGGATCGCAAAAGGACTTGGTAGGCTGCTTCCACTCCTTATAAATAAAGTAATCGAAAAAGGGATGCAAGGAAACACTTTGGCAGAACGCCTGCTCTTATGGGTCCCAAACTGCACCGCGGCAGAGCTAGCAGTATCCTCAATTTTAAGGGTCTCCCTGACAGTGCGGACCAGCGCAGAGACCATCTCGTGTTCCTGAACCAGAAGCGTAGACGCTGCCTCATCCTCACTGGCCGAATCCGGCTGCGAGGAATCACCCGGATCAGGATGCGGTGACGTCGAGGGAAGTTCCCCTTCCACCTCGGACTCCCCTGACAGGGCAAGGGACGGCGCAGGTAAAGCCCGTTTCCTAGGCTGGCGATGTGTCAATGTGCGTTCAATGCGCGTCACAAACCCATCCATGGCAGAGGAAAAAAGCTCCACAGAGCCACAGCCCCGCCAGGACAGCGAAAAGGCGGCCGGTGTTACGGCCATGCGGCCAGAACGAACATGGCCGCCATCGTCGTGGCCGCAACGACTTCGGCCAGTCGCCACAAGGCGAATGAATGTCGGCGGCCGGAGGCCCCGGGACCGCCCCACAGCACCCACACAGGGAACCCAACCCCGTCCAGACGAGCAGCCGATCCTCACCAGGTCACTTCTAGACCCCAGACAGGACCCAGCAGGAGACATCCAGGGAATCCTCACAGGGCAGGTAGGAAAGTGACAGAGCACCCCTAACCGAAGTCACATCGTCGTCGGCTTGCGGGGAGTGCTGTGACAGGTAGGCCGGGACCCCCTGTCATATGCCCCCCCCCCGGGACGAACCCGCAGGCATAACCGTAAGGAAGCACATGTCGCAGCAGACACACCGTGGCGGTCTGCATGCGCTCGATGGTCACCCAGGGGAGACTCCAATGATCCACAGACATCCAGCATGTCGCCCTGGTGACACTTGCTAGAAGAATCAGCGACAAAAACGGAGGAAAAGTAAAAATTTCCCAGATACATTTTTTTTAGCTCCTTACTCCTGACGCTAGGCAAAAAACTGGAGACTTGTCAGCAAGTGAGGGGTTGGGCCACCAGCAGGGGCCGCCCCTAGGCTGTCTTGTCTTTTGTTATGTGCCTAGCGTCCTACTCCTGCAGGTGGCGATATACCCTACCATTCAGGATCTACGATCTTTTGCCCTGTGTCCTTCAATGAACGGGAGAGAAAATATGTTTTTTGCAGGAGTTGTTCTTTACTTTTCACACCATCTTCTTATCTTATCAGCTTGGCATTGTAGCTGCCGTAGAAGGGAACCAGAGCGGAATGAGCTTCGCCCTTTGGTAGCCACGGGCCGCTTTCATTTTCTATTTATAACTGAAAGCAGATCTCAGAAATGAAAGCAAATTGTAACACAAAAACGTACTTTAATCTCCGGGCCAGCGTCATGATTTTCAATGGTATAAGGGGACTTCCAAAGCAGAATGTGATCTTCCCGTAGGTAGTTGGTCAGCTGGGACATCAAGAACTTCTTTTCCGCCATCTTTTTAATAAAAAAAAAATATGTGGGTCAGATAAAGATGAAAGCGCAAAGCAAACACAAAACAAAGTATGTTCATATGATATTTGTACAGTAACTGGGGCCCCTGAAATCACAACATACATGACAGGAAGCACAGTGCCAGCTGAACTCTCTCAGGTGTGCTTATTGAATAGGAGAATAGGCAAGCAGAGGTGACTGGCAGAACCCTGCAGATCTGACAGTGTCATATTTCAGCACAGAGCATACTAAGATATTTCAGCAGGGTTGTTTCCAGAGATGGATAATCGTAGGCAGGATGTTCATACACAAAACTACAAAGTGACTACACTGAATAGGATGTCACAGGATGGCAATATTCATGGTAAGTAGTTGAATGTACAGGATGGAGCTGCTCCATGACTGTGGAGGGGAGCTGCCACACAGCAGACATGGAAGGACGTACTGAATTTGGTCAGTCACGCCATATCCGACACTCGTTTCATTCTGAACTTTACTCACCTTGTCCGGTCTGCTCCGACCCTCCGTAACACTCCGCTGGGCACTCACATTACCACTGTGCACACCATTCACAACAACACAGCAATGACAAGCAGCCTCTTCTCAGCCAGTAGCTGAGCAGGATTGATGTTCACGTGATGCGGCTGAACAATGAAAGAAGAGCGCTGATTGGGGGATGTCAACACCGCACGGACTGCGCAGTGGATATGGGTCTCATGTACTGTATATAAAATCAGGTGGTTTCCAGTTGCTGGGGGCGGGGCAAATGAATGTGCATGTCACGTGGCACAACAGGTCCCGACATGTACGGGTTTTTTTTGGAAATGGTCCTGGCCGTGACCCGTAGCTGGGGTACTGATACACCGGTCAGTGCTGCCGCCAGTCTTCTTCATGTTCAAGTTTTAACTGGTGCCAGGCTAAAAGCCTTTCCATGTGGTATAATATACTGACATGTCTAATTCAGTGTGATATTAGGTGGGGTGCTCTCCCGAAGAGAGACCCCCCAAACGGGGGAGGTAAACAAAACCCATTGAGGTCACAGAACTTCCCCCTAACATCAGGACGGGCCCCGAAGGTACGCACCCTCCATCAATTTGTGGGGTCAAAATTGCTCAATCGTGCATATACAAAAGTGCTTACAATAAATAAGTGCCAGTGCGAGACATGGCAGGCCTTTCAGCCAAGATAAAAAATTGCTCCGGACTAGCCAAAAGGCCTACCCAAACAAAACTTTAAGGTGCTGTGACCTAGTGATGGTGAATCACAGTGGGGTTGCAATAGGGTTGCCACCTGTCCGGGATTCACCCGGACAGTTCGGGTTTTGAATGTTGTGTCCGGGTTTCGTGGAAGCTGAAACCCGGACGCGAGATGTGAGGCAGACATGGGCCACCAAAATTAGGATAGGTGCTACTGGCCCCCCACTGAAAATAGTCTTGACTGGGATATTTACATATGAATGGGTGGCGCTATTTACATATGAAGAAGCCGCGATTCATTCTACCCCAAACATTTCCGTGCTTCACTAGAGTGTTCGGGTTTCAATGGAAGAAAAGGTGGTAACCCTAGGTTGCAAACCCATAGTGATTTTCCGGCACCCCTGGTATGCCACTCCCAGGGAGTACAGCACTACGGCATCTGCGCTTCTGACCAGACAAGGGCAGCCCCATTCCCATCAGAAGGTATTAGCACCGGAGAGGCTTCTGCCTACAAATGGGGACAAGCCCAGCATAACCAGTCCGAAATTAACCCAGGAGGAAAAGGGAACCTCCCCAGTACCCACCTATTATTCTAAAGGTGCCCATGCACCTTACGAATATCGGCCGATTTTCGTATGTGATCGCGTTAAGGTTGATGGGCAGTGTACAACCGCAAATACTGTACAATCGATCGACTTTTGACTAACCAGCAGGTTAGAAAACTTTAGTCGATCGTACGATTTTCGCTAGGTTGGTGACGTTTCCGTACGTCAAAATTCGTACGATTTACATGGCACATGCGCAGACGAAAATACGTGCAGTCGATTACCGCAATTCATCCAGGTGCTTTTTTTTCATTCCTGCTGATCCAACCTTGCGATAATCGGGGCAGGATGGGGCCGCCGTACGAAAATCGTACGACGGTTCGATCATCGGACGAAAAGTTTCCTCCGATGATCGCAAGGTGTATGGGAAGCTTAACAGATACTATCCTGCCATCCACGGATCCAAGGACAGCACCGTTCTCCACCAGAGCCCCCAGCAAATAGTAGACTGCCCTCCCCCTCTGGTTCTTAGGCGACACCGTTCTCCCTCCGGAAGCTCCAGGGAATCCTAGACTGCCATCTCCTCCGGAAACTGATAAGCACAGATAGTACAAGCTATTGCACAATGCAATCATACCACCCAATTTTCCAAGATGAGAAAGAGGGACACCTTCCAGCAATCTGTTTAGACAATAGACATGCCCCCAGTTATGCAGACCATTAGGCTTGGTTCAGGCCTGCACAACACCCGGGACGCGCATCCCGGGACCGTGCGATCGTGTGCTTGTGCGTGGCCCCATTGATTTCAATGGGGTTACATCGGCGTGGCAATCCCTAAAAAAAAAAGTAAAAGTACCTTTTTTTGGGACACATGATGTGCGGCTTTTTATCGTGTTCAATTGCACGGGCGGAATCCCACGCGATCCGGGGTGCCATTAGAAAATAATGCACCGCCAGCGCAATCGGCTGCTGTGGGCGACTGTGGCCGCGCAGCAATACGTGCGTTTTTGTGCACGATTGTCGCGCGGCAAGGAGTCACCCAGGCCTTAAAGCGAAACTAAACTCAGGAGTTAAAGGAGAACTATGAGGTGAGTGAAAATCACTCAGCCTCATAGTTCGAGCCGACATGTGACAATAAAACTGTTACACGTCGGCTCAATAGATCGGGAAGTGAGCAAACACGTACCGTCGCTCACTCACTTCTCAATCTATCCCTGCAGAGAGCCGTGACTGTCACTCCAGGCTCCCTGCAGGGATTCCCCCCTCCCCTGTCCGATCCTCCAGTGCTGACTGGTGGAACGGACGGGGAGGGGGCGGGTACAGCTGGCTCTGCCTTTAGTTAGGCAGAGCCAGCTGTCACTCAGCTGGGTGGATCTCCACAGTAATGTCGGGATCTGTCCCGGCTGCGGCGGTCTCACTATACAGTGAGCTGTAGCTCGCGATTTACTGAGCTTTGGGTCACGGGAGGATGCTAGTTTGTGTCCTCCCGTGACTATGGGGAAAAGCACTGACCCCATAGTTCTCCTTTAAATCTTAAAAATACATAAAAGTACCCTAACTATTAACATAAATGTAGCTTATTTGTGTATCACTCGGCTGTAGATCCTCAAATCATTTCTGAATTGGTGCTGACACTGTCCTTCCTTCTGGAGGGTGGCTACATTTGTTCCCCATGGTCCTTGTGTGTGCTCTCACTCCGGCGTACGCGGCGCTACCCATCATGTGTAGCGCGTTCGTCGTTTTCATACGTAGACGCACCTGACGCGTGTTTACGCGGCGACGCGCGTGCTCGCGGGGGACTTTACATTTTTTTTTATTATTATTAGATTTATTTTATTTAATTGTAATTTAAAAAACTGTTTGTTTTTTTTACTTTACTTTGACTGCTGTCACATAGGGGGGCTTACAAGTCCCCCCATGTGATAGCAGATGGTGGTCACAGGTACTCTTTAAGGTGATGCTGGGGGTCCAAAAGACCCCTAGTGTCACCTTTACACTAGAAATAAGCTATTGAAGTGCAGATCGCACTTCAATAGCTTCTAGCTGGGCTGCAGGAGCCCAGAACTGACAGCCCAGGGACCGGAAGTGATGCACTCTGCATCGCTCCCGGTCCCATAGAACGGGGAGGGGATCGATGAACGGAAGTTGGTCGACCTCCTCCCCAGCTCCTCGTGGACACTAAGGACGCCGGTCCCGGGCCCGTAGGAGGGGCAACAGAGTCCGGGAAGCACGGCGGGGGGGGCGGCCCCTTCTTCGGGACACAGAAGCGATCTGGCGACAGGTAAGTCGCCAGAATCGCTTCTGTTGTAAAGCCGACAGTCGGCTTTACAAGTTTAAACAGAGTCCCGGCGGCAATAGCCGCCGGGAGGCTGTTTAAACAGCCCCGATGCTGGTGACGTACACTGTACGTCGTCAGTCACGAAGGCTTTAAATAGGATATCCAGGATTCTTTTCAATTAACCCTTGCAGTGGGACTTCCCTTGCATTGCAATGGTTAAGTGCTCATTTAGGTCCATGGATGAAAATAATGAAGATATACTGTATTTTGTATATTATATTGTAAAGCGCTGCGCAAACTGTTGGCGCTATATCAATCCTGTATAATAATATACAGTACTCACCCAATCCTAGGTCCCTATTGGCTGCTGGACTGGTCCCTGCAGCCTGCTTTTCCCCGGGCTCCGGTGGTCTAAGGACCCGTGACGTCATCACATCTAATACGTACGTGTCTATTAGACGTGAAGACGCTGAGGGACTTACCACACCCAAAGCGGAGGGGGATAGAGGTAAGAGGTCACTGCCGCAGGTCCAAGGATCGGGTGAGCATATCTTCTTTATTTTTGCCCATAGATTTTAACCCTTGTAGACTTTGGCCCCACTGCAAGGGTTAATTTTTTTTAAAACTGGAATTCTTTAAAAAAAATCAGATTGTTTTCGATAGAGATCACTATCCACCATGAAGTAAAAACCAAGAAGTAAAAGGTTACCATGTTTATTTATTGTGTTTGTTTTACATCAGCTGAATTCAGCTACAAAGAACAATACAGGAAGAACTGTTTCAATTTAAAGCTGAACACCAGGCACAGAAACTTTAATTTAACTATACTCCTTAATAGCCACAAAAGATATAAATCCACTTTGTATGCAACAAATGCCTTTGCAAACCCAGATAACACCTTGAAAAGTAGCAATGACATCATCACTGTGCTGCACATAGCCTGTACAAAGAGCAGAGCTATGGGAGGGGCCCAGCAGGTCCACCCACTAAAGGGGCGGAGACAAGACCAGTCACCCTGCACAATGAGATAGCAGCAGTAACCGGTCTTTATTATGGGAAGCTTCTGCACAGAGTCAGTTTCATGTTGGATTGCTGCACAGATATGGTAGAAATACAGAAAGCAAACCAAGATTCAAGAAAGAATACACCTGCCTCTTGTATATAGACCATATTTGTTTATCCCGGAGATCTGATTTAAGGTGCACCTAGTGTACTGTCAGGATATATTGGTGCATTTAGCTCTACAACAATCAGGACCTTTCACACTAATGCTCTGTGGACACATGAGATGTAGTAAAGGTAACATCTGCCTGTCCCTACAAAAAACTTTGCTGGCTGGAGATCTGTGGTGACTGGACCCTTCCCCTTTAATTTCCTTTACCATTTGCTGAAGCAGCCTTGTGCTCCATGATCAGAAAACCGTGGGGAATGAGCACATTACTCCTAAATACCTCTCTTTTTCTTCTACTGCCAAACCTTTTTTTTTAGATCCAAGGCCCCATTCACTGTAGCTTATCATGTGACTGAGCTTATTGGTTTGTGCGTTTTTGTCACGTGTTCACATAGGGCGGCCCATTCATCTCAATGGGCTCTTTTACATGCGACAAACGCAGCAATTTCTCTAATGCAGCTGTTTGAGCTGCGAGCTTTGTGAATTTTTGGACCATGCATTTTTCAGTTTGTCGCATGTTTTCACACATGAAAAAATATGCACCTTTCTTGCTGCGCTTGTGGTACCATTAATAGCAATTCATGGGCACGGCCAGTGTGAAGGTAGCCTTATGTATGGATCTGTAGAATAATGTTTTTTTTAAACACTTATTTTAGAAATTTAGGAATGTAACAGAAAAATACTTTTCCTGCAGAAAATGCTGACTCGGGCTCCCTTCAGTGCTGTCCACGCGGCTGAAAGCCTAGGCTATTGATTCTATGATTTTAAGTAAAAGTGAATATCCTCCCCATCAGAGATCTTGATCTAGGATGTCAGACATGTGGGCAGCACTGAATTGATCCTGGAGTAGCATTTTCTTCAGGGTAGGTAGGTATTTTGGCCCTTCTGTTACTTATTTTTCCTATTATAGAAAGACTGTTGGTATAGCTTTTTCAGTTGCAGCACCTGTTTCAGTGATAACTGTCAAAAAGTGAGGTTTTCTCTCACTGTGAAGTGAGTTCTTTTCTCTTCTGGTTCAGTCTCAAGCACAGGAAATGTGGTGAACACTCCCCAGTGGGACCTAGATAGACATTAAAACCTAAAAGAGGTTCCAAACTTTTTCCTACTCAAAATTTAGAAAAAGTTTTGGCTGGAGTTCTTTGTAGAATGAGTTTTCCCTTAAAGTGTATGTCCATTCAAAATTGTTTTGAATAGAGTTGGAAAGGCTTTGAACTTCCTGCTTTCTGGAGCTCCATTTCAGAGATTTACTCTTACTTTCTGTGTTGCTGACAACTGTTTCACCAGACAGGAAGTGAGGTAAAATCTGCAACAGGAACACAAGACTGATATAAAATTCTTCCCTCACTTTGCCGGGTGCTGCTGCATCTGAGGTCTGGTGAGTCTGGAAATTTGTGCTGTGATACTGACCCCTGTTCTCTCTATTATCTACTACTGACCTCTGAACTATGTGATACTTACTCCTGAACTCTACATTACTTACTACTGACCCCTGCTCTCCATGTTACATACTACTGACCTCTGAACTCTGCATTACGCACTTCTGACCTCTACACTGTGTGTTACATGCTACTGATCTTTGCATGACCTGCTCTTGACCCCTGTGCTTTGTATTACTTACTCTTGACCTCTGCATTCTGTGTTGCATGTTACTTACCTGTGCACTTTATGTTTCTTACTTTTGACCCCTGCACTTTGTTACTTACTATTGACTGACTCCCTCAATTCTGCGTTACTTACTCCCGACTCTGTGTGACTTACTCTTGGCCCCTGCACTCTGCATTACTTACTCCTGACCCATGCACTCTACATTACCTACTCCTGACCTGTGCACTTTGCATTACTAACTCCTGACCCATGCACTCTGCATTACTTACTCCTGACCCATGCACTCTACATTACCTACTCCTGACCTGTGCACTTTGCATTACTAACTCCTGACCCATGCACTTTGCATTACTTACTCCTGACCCCTGCACTTGCCATTACTTACTCCTGACCCCTGCACTCTGCAATACTTACTCTTGACCCCTGCACTCTACATGACTTAATACCAACCTTTGACCTGTACGTTACTTTCCACTGACCCCCCAACTCTGCGGAGCTACTGACCCCTGAACTCTTCAAATCTTTGCTAGGTAAAAAAGTGCACTGCAGGCTGGTGATCTTTTAATATCTTCCATGTTGTTCAGTTAGATCTCCACGTCTCCAGGGTTGCCTACCCCTGCTTTAATGTTTTCATTTATGACAAGTGGTGTGGAACGGTATTCTGTTGGAAAGGTTTTCCTATCTTTAAAAACTAAGAGATACTCTGAGTTGCCATAACTCAATGGAACTGCGCAACAAATGTAAGCCTTTAGCTTCCTAAGTCAAACTATATCCTAGTGACATATGGTAATGTTAAACGTCATAACAAAGGTTTTATTGTTCGGTTTAATTTCAGACTTGAAAGTTAAAGTGCAAGCTAATTGAAAATGTTCACATGAAGGTCACATTACTTTTTGATGGATTTCCAAATATTTGCTTTAATGTGTTACATATAAACCAAGCTTTCTGGCTGTTTCTGATATATGTGGATTTTTCTTCTGAGGAAAGGGATAGAAGAACAGTTTCTCTGTGGGGGAAGAAGGTTTGGAAGAAGGAAACTGATAGTGACCCCAGGATGTAGGGATTGGGTGTTGGAGGGATGATTTCCTGTATAGACTATTGAAAGACTTGTCATCCTTTTTCATTCCACAAGTTTCTATTTCTCCTGTAATGTCTTCTGAGTCTTTCCTTGGCTGCTGTTCAGAGCTCAGCAACCTGTTAAACAATATACTTTTATCAATGCCTTTCTTGTGTTCAACTGTCCTTTCATCATAATTGCAATGACAATCCATCTGCACCATGCGGTGAATGCTCAGGTGAGCGTGCCATGGGCCATGCTTGTCCTTCAGATAGTTCTTATCCAGCAGTTCCAGGGCGACCTCTTTCACGGGGATCTGTTCTTTAAATGGCTTCGTTTTCTGAACTCTCCTAGTCACAGGAACTATGTTGAGGGTGGAATCCCTTGAAATCAGTTCATTTTCACCTAGAAATATAGAAATGTTGTTATAGAACTCCGATCTTCTTAAATTGCAGTAAATTATTTTTAAATTCAAAGCAGATGATGAAACTTAAAATATACAGTAGTTCAAGGCAGAAAATGTTTTTTCTAGTATTGGATAAAGTGGGGAAGGATTGGAACTCCTGCCATGTTTTTACTGGTATCAGGGGTTACTTTGTAGGTGGGACATTTAACAGCAGGTCTATAAAACAGAAAATACATTTGACCAGAAGTTGTTTTGGAGAGAATTTTGCATACATTTCAAGGCAACATTGCCTGAGGTTCATTTATGTGAGGTTCAGTGAAGTCATGCTGAACTATAGTAATTACAGCATGGGAATCTGGTTACTTATTACATGCTGATGGGTCAGACGAGCCACATGGATATTTCATTTATATGTGGAATCTAGTCACCAGCTGCCGTTGTGTAATTTGGTTGTATTTCCAGAGGCGAGATCCTTCTGTCCCTGTTCTCACTTATGTTTGAGTTTGGGTGGTCCCATTTACAAGGGGTTATCTCACATTTACGGTGGAACCTCTTGTACTTTAAAGTCTGCATTGAAACATTCAGTGATTTAAAGGCCAATTGAGGCTACATTTTTATATTTGTAAAAGGTCCCCCAGGTTAAAAAAAAAAAGTATCTTTAATACTGTTCCCAGCTGTACCTCTTCTTTACCACACGATGTTCTAAGTCTTCTAGGTTGAATGGTGCCCATCGTCACTCAACCCAGCAGACTGAGGACCGTACTGTGAATGCAAAAGTTCATGATCTCACCCCTTGAGGCGGAGTAATCATGGCACCCTTCATTCACACTGTACTGGTGCAGAAAGTGGCACAGAGGTCATGACCTTAGGTCCCCTCTCTGCATAAGTAAGTACAGCCCAGCCTGAAGAAGAGGTGATGATGAAAAGGACTCTGCAGTGTCATGTAACCAGCCTGAAGACTTAAAGAAAGGGAAGTGTTAAAGCAAAAAAAAGCATGAGGCACAAAGCAGGGAGATGGATGGATTTAGGGGGAGCATGAATTCAGCTTTAACTTTCTGGGAAAAATAATAAAATGTTAAAAAAATATCAGTTTAGATTGACAGACCCTTTAACCGCTCTATTAAATGTACCGTATATACTGTGTAAGAATATGTTATATAGTACTTTAAAGAGGACAGAGCCATTCATAATAGTCCCTGTCCCTAAAGGAGTCTCACTCTAGTGTCCATATTCTATAGGGCCAATTTGGTGTCTAATGAGACACTGTCACTAGGGAAACAACACTGGTATTGTGCAATTATTGCGATGATTAGGTGTGAACAGACCCTCAAGCAATAGATTTTAGCAGAATAGTCATACCTGGTTATGATTGTAGCTGTAAATTTGCTGAGCACATATACATCGATCAGCCATAACATTATGACCACCCACCTAATACTGAGTAGGTCCTCATTTTGCCACCAAAACAGCCCTGACTCATTGAGGTATATATGCTACTAGACTTCTGAAGGTATGTTATGGTATCTGGCACCAAGCCGTCAGTAGCAGATCCTTTAAGTCCTGTAAGTTGCGAGATGGGGCCTCAATGGATTGGACTTGCTTTTCCAACACATCCCACAGATGCTTGATTGGATAAAGATTTGGAGGGCAAGTCAAGACCTCAAACTCATTGTTGTGTTCCTCTTACCGTTCTTTAAAATTTTTTGCTGTGTGGCAGGGTGCAATTATTCTGCTGAAAGAGGCCACTGCTATCAGGGAATACCATTTCCATGAAGGGTTTTACTTGGTCACAATGTTTAGGTGGGTGGTATGTGTTAAAATAACATCCACATGAATTGCAGCACCCAAGTTTCCCAGCAAAACATTGCCCAAAGCATCAACTTCTGCGACAAAATGTTCACTTGCTGCCTAATATCTCCCACCGATTTCTAGATACCATAACGAGATAATTTGTGTTATTCACTTCACCTCCCAGGGGTCATAATGTTATGGCTGTTCAGAGTATATCATTGTAACATCTAAAACTGGCCATATACAATTGAACTTTATACATTTCCTGCTGAATAGCCTAAAATACAATCCGTGGGTGGATCGAAAATTTCAATCAACTTTTGAGGAAGGAGCTGGGTGGAAATTGTTGACCAAATCAGCTACAGTCACTGTTCAGGTTATCTGACAGCTTAGGAACCGGCTGTCAGAATACGGTAGCTGGCTCTTTAGCACGGATGGGGGAATTGAGTGATTTTTCTCAAATCTTAAGGTGTATGCTCAACTTATAAGTCATACGAAGGTAGACGATACATTCAATGTACAAAACCTGTGATAAATTTGCACCAGAAAATGTAAGGACATAAACAATAGAAAGAGCAATCTCATCAGGCGCATAATCCTTATAATAACATTGGTATCAGTAACCTTTTGTGCAAAACATAGTGAATGATTGTACTAAACAGCTGGCACTTTACCTATCATATTTAGTGAATTATTATAAAACTCTAGGTCTAGGTTGTTTTGTTTCACACACAATTACACAATAAGCTAGGCAAATGTCAGAACATGAGAAGAACAATCTATTGTGTACACTGACAAAACAATGATAAAAAAGTAGAATGACATTTCAAAGCAAGGACATAATGAGTGTTTACAAGGGTTAACGGAGTGTATTTACCAAGGCTCCTTGGCACCTACAGATGTAGATGAAGTAACCTTGTACATGTGGCAGGAAATTCAGCATTTTGGAGTGAATCCAGTATCTTGTATGCCACCTATATCAGCTGTTCTACAATATCTACAGTATAAAGGCCTCATTCACCCGAGAAAAAGGCGGCACGTACAGCTCCGTGCTGCATGCATGGCTGTATCGGGGCAGCTCCCGGGAAGGACAGGTGCTGCGTGTGATTAGTACGCAGCCGCCACCCTACGCTCACCCCAAGTGCAGGTCCGTACGGCCCGGACGCAGACAGGATCCATCCTGTCAGCGTACGAGTACGGACACCTGCACGGACGTGCAGGGCGGGTGGGCGTAGCGTGGCGTACGACCATGTACTCCCATAGAGAAGGACAGGGGCTGCGTACTAACCACAGCAGCATGTGTCCTTCCCGGGAGCTGCCCAATACGGTCGTGCACGCAGCAAGGAGCTGCTTTACGTGCCGGCTTTTTCTCGTGTGAATGAGGCCTTATGCCCACTGCACAATGGACTAGTCTGTGCTGCACAGGTCAACATCTTTCAAAGGGAAGTTTAGAAATACAATTAAGCACACCCTTCCCCTGACAAATTAAAGGGCACCTGTGCGGAGAAATATTGCCGGCTCCTCCTTCTGTGACTGAATCAGTGCCCTTTTCTAAGTTCTAATTTTATTTGCTGCATGCTTGCCCTGCGTCTACAGTTAACCAAGTACTGAAGTTAGGGACAGCAAAATTATCATTTTCATGGAGGTTAGCAATGGTAGCCCCATATTTTTCTATGTTTATATAATAATTAGCCTGCAGCCTCCACCACCTTCTGGTTGGTACTCAGTACTGCAGTCTGGTCCTGCTGGAGCTGAACACCTGTCCAAAGCCAGGAGTGCCTAAAAGAGAAGTAAAGCCAATTATTTATTTTTTTTACACATTTGTACATCTACTAATGTACTGCTGTGATCCAAGCTCAGCATATAGTACTATATGCTGACAGGCCAGAGCCACTCTGAAACTGATAAGAATCCCGACAATATTGTCGGTAACCACCCCGGCTGCCTGATTGACAGCTGGCTCTGCCTCTCTTGAGCCAGCTGTGCCCATCGGCTATTCTGTCTGGCCCTCCAATGAGTGCTGGAGCAACAGAAAGGGGGAATCCCTGACAGTCACTGCTCTCTGCAGGGAGGAAAAAGGGAACTGATGAATTAGATGTTACATGATCACTCAGCTCTCAGCAATATATAGAGCTGGCGCGTGGCAGTTAAAGTGTTCCATGCTGGATATAAGTATATTGGGAAGAGTATATTTTACTCTCTCCCAATACTTCTCCTTTTAAATGCACTTCAGAACATTCAGTCAGTGCCTCATCAGAGGTGTGGCTTGTTATCTGTCTTGCAAATTCATGCCTTTAGAGTTCTCTTCTTTATTAACTTGGACTTCCTTGGGATTCTGTTTTTTCTGTTGGTAACTCTGAACTCCTGTTTGTCTGAGCTCGTTCCTGCCTTGTGATTCTGTACTGTTTGTGGTTCTTTTTGTTCTGTTGGCTGTTACTCTTCAGTGACAGAGAGGATCCATGGTATTCAGTGACAGTATAGGTGTCTGTTACAATGTTTTCCAAAGATTCCAAACTAACAAATTGTTAATATTAATAAATAACAAATAATGTTGAATATATTGGATGTCATTTCCCTGCCAGCAGTACCATTCTTGCCATGATGCCTACCCGAAGCAGAGGAAGCAATAAGGATGAAGACACTGTCCCAATGTCTACAGAAGCAGAAACAGAGTTGCAGATAACCTTTTGGTTGCTTGCAACCCAGAAATCTTTTAATATGGTTGGAAAGGAGGATCTGGATTCCCAGTCTGGCAACTGTGTTGTATGGCAAAAGGACTGGTGTGTCTAAGACAACTTGATGGCCCGTTCAAACCAAAATCGGAAGGAATTTGCAAGTAAACGAAGGGTTCTCCATTGTCTTCCGTTCCATTTAAAAAAAATATGTTTTTCTCTTTTTTGCTAATCTTTATTTTCATTAACAGGTCCTGAGTGGATAAACATCTATGTTTATGTATTTCTTCCGTTCCATTGCAATTACATCTGGTTTTGTTCTGTTACATTACTTTGCGCTGAAAAAAGTAAGGCATGCTCTCCTTTTTTTTCCATCGTACTGAAATGGAACGCAACGGGGTCGCAGCAGTGTGAACTGGCTCCATTCACACCCATACATTTTTTGGCACCCTTGTGTTAGCATCCGTTGAAAAATGGATTGCAACACAATGCAACGGATCTGGTGCGAGTGAAGGTTGATGTGAGTTCTTCTGGAA